CACCCAGCCAAGGTCAAACCACCACACTATCCCAACTGAATATCATGAAAATCAGGCTGTTAAATTTATGACTATGCTTTTCCATCTAATATTTTTCCCTGTTGTTTTTTCCATGTACATAAAACCCTGACCCATTAAACAAAAACCAATCTATCTCCTGACACTCAAAACAATTACAGATTTTGTGAGCAACCAAAAAACGACAGAAGTACCACACCCTCAGTGACTAGGTGTGGATTTAGTTGGAAGTCATTAGTATGGGTGAGTGGAGTGTCTGAACACTTTTCCTAGGCACAGGGAAGGCGAAGAGAAAAACAAAGAGGAAAGAGGGAAGAATCTACTCTCCAAAGTTACAGACAGCTGTAAAACCATGACAATGCATGAACTGATTCATAAAATCTAAAGCACCTGTCAGAAAGCAAGAGAGTTTATGGAGTGGTGGCCCAAGATGCCAATTAAAATATTACTGTTTGTGATTTCACTGCTTATAGCTACAAAGCTGTGTATGTGTGCCTCTTCTTGCCAGTGCCTATGCAAAGAACAGCAACTATTTAGAGTGAATCAAAGAGTTAGAAGATTAGTGGGCAGATGCACAGCCTGATTGAGCATCCCAAGCCATTTATGCTGAAGCAGAAAGCAGAATGCCAAATAACTGCTCTACCCCAACAGTCCTGCTCCAAATGACAGCTGCCATTCACAGCAGCTGCTCAAGAAGGCTGATACTACTGCCTTCTTCCCTAAGCAAGACCAGTTAAAACTAAGGCATCCCTGCTCTGGTTATTTTTACCTTGTAAATACAAGCTTGCTTTTGCCACTTGAAGGCTACTAAAGGTATTTGCACATGATATAGGAGTGAGGGTTCATTATGTTTCTGCCTACACACAGGAAGCCATCACTACTGTGAGGGTGCCAAACACTGGGACAAAGCCCAGAGGCTGTGACAGCTCCATCCTTGGACACATTCGAGACTGGACTGGACAAGCCCCTGAGCAACCTGCTCTAATCTGTTTTGAGCAGCAGATTGAACTGGAAACCCCAGGGATCCCTCCTCACTTAAATGACTTTATGATATGAACAGGAAGAACACACATTCCCAAATGTCTATGCTACTTCCTTGTGTGGTACTTCAATTAAACCCCAGAAAGGATTTGCTCCAGAGACACCACCTGGTGCAAAACATCCAGTTTTGGGTCTCCAGAGGAGGGCCGTGAAGAGGGGGTCAGAGGAGTGGAACACCTCTCCTTATGGAGACAGGCTGAGAGAGTTGGGGTTATTCAGGCTGAAGAAGAGAAGGTTCTGCGGAGAGTTTACAGCACCTTCCCGTACCTAAAGGGGGCTACAGGAGAGCTGCAGAGGGACTTTTTACAAGGACATGGAGTGACAGGACAAGGGCTGATGTCTTTAAACTGAAAGAGGGTAGGTTTTTAGGAAGTAATTTCACTATGAGGGTAGTGAGACACTAAACAGGCTGCTTGGAGGAGTTATGGATGCCCCATTGCTGGAAGTGTTCAATGCCAGGCTGGATGAGGCTTGGAGCAGCCTGGTCTAATGGAAGGTGGCCCTGCCCATGACACGGGAGTTGGAATTAGATGGTCTTTAAGGATCCTTCCAACCCTGCTGGGATTCTATGAATCTAATTTCACAAATATGTTCCCAATTAAGAATCTTTGTGAGTTTACAAGCAAAACATGGTACAGTTTCCTTGATTAAATAGGTACCATATGACTGTAAAACTTAATTCTTAAACCCTGGTATTATTAGATATTAGTTTTATGCATTTAATTAGAAATTAAATGCAAAATTTAAAATAATAACATATTTTTAAAAATTATAGTTTTTAGTTATGCACCTTAACCTACCATTTAACAGCGTCACTTTATTTAAACAATACAACACAGACAACTTAATTGCTTGGAGTATGGCACATTCTTTTGATGTAAAGTTCCTTGAGAAACTCCATTTTATAAACCACATGTAATTGCAGACCATATTTTAAGATAATGCTGCTAACTGAGATAAATTTGCTTGCACTTTCAACTTTCCTACCTTCTCTAATATTTTAGGGTTTGATGTGGTTATCATTCCAACTGTAGAGAACATGTTTGTTAATATTCTGCCAATCTGCACGTTACCAGGACACTCAAGAAGTTGGGAAACTGGAATGTAGAAAGAGCCTTTCTCAGTAGAAGGAGCAGACTTTTAGTTCTTAAAAACACAAAAAAAAATCCCTCCTAAACACCTCACGCTAAGCCTGCTCCTGTCAAACCCTTCAAGAGATAATCTGCTACTGTTTTGTTTGAAAGAGAAACTTCTGAGTGTGACGGACAAAACAAATCACTTTGAGGAAATGCCTCTATTTAGCACGTTGAGGTTTAAGTAATTAAACTCATCAGGTGCCTACCCACAACAATTTGTTCTACCATGTTTAAATGCTGTGGCATAAGAAATTCTTGTTGATGAATCTGCTCTTAACATCCAGGTATGACTGACTGCATGCCAGGATGCTGCCAACCACAGTATTTTACCAGTAGCGGCACAGAATTGACTTGTCCTGGCAAGAGCAGTATAAATAAATCTTGCTGAAAATCCAGTGGGATGTCTCTAGACAGTATATGGCTCAGGATCTAGCAGCCTATAAGTCACTGCCCTCATCACTCTCACAGAACACAAATTTATTAGAGCATTTGGAAGAGATTACTGACACCTTCCACAGGAAAGCATTTTTTCAACATTCGCATCCAGGACCCCAAATTTCTGACAAACTTGCACCTACTGGGTAGGCTACATGTAAGACTGAGATCAGAATTATGATAAAATTCACTCCTCTCTGTGAGCTTACTGTATAACCATGCTATTGTCTTTCCCAGCATTTATTTTTCATACTAATTTTGGTTTCGACAGAAGTATTACATTATTTGGGTAAGCATGCAGATTTACCACACATCTAAGTGATGATCTACAAACAGGTACAGGTAGCAGTGAATCTCTTAGAGATCAATTATTACCTAGAAGAAAGCAATAGAAGTTGGCACTTTTATGGGGGGAGGGAAGGGCATCAGTCTCTCAAACTATGCCTAAAAATCTACAGCCTTCCTGGATGTCTCAGTAAGACCTACTTGTACTGGGAAAGTGAGCTGGGAGGCAGACACACACTCTCACACAAAATTTTGTTTTATTCAGGCATTAAAGTGATGTAGACAACAAATTCATGTCAAAATTGTCTCAAGAAAAGCCATGGGTTTATTCTCATCATTAAAAGAATGCTGTAATTACACCATACAGCTAAGCAAGAGTGCAAGCTCCATATGTACAGCCTGTGCTGTAGGATTTTCAACTTGGGAGTCTTCACAAAGGCTTGACTTGGATGACAGTTCCAGTGCTACTATTCTGCAGTTTCCTAAATCAGTTTTAAATTCTATAAGGGTAAAAAACTAGAGGGGGGGAGGGAAGGAACACCACCAAAAAAAGTCTAAATATGAGATCAGAGTCCTTCAGGCTACATTACTGTGAACAGAATTCACACTGTTATTTTCTCTTGGTTACCATTAAAATTACAGTGCAAACAACCCAGCTGTGTGCTATTTATAGAGATCAAATCATTATAAAGACATTTATGCTACAGGCAGCAACAGTGACATTTTTTCCCCCTTCTTTTTCAAGCCAATTAAGCAAGAAGAACATTATAATAACATTTTGCTTTGTTTCCCATTTCCCTTGGTGTTATAGGATAGCTTATTTTCTTATTTGATTAAGACCACAAGAATTCTGTCAAAAGGAATAGACTTTACAGTGCACTTTAAATATCCTAAATATCAACATCTTTATTTTGAGCTTCCAATTTAGTAAATGCATATATTTTGTATTATTTCTCTTGCTGAGAGGGCTTTTCCTCTTCTAGCATGTTCAGCCTAATAGCTGTGGGAAGAAAATCAAAGTGATTCCAGTGTGGTGGGGCTGAGGGAGGAGCAACAAAAGGTGAGAAAACAGGGAATCAAAGTTTTGCAGCATCTTCCATGACACACTATGCTGTTCATAATACAAACTTACATCGAAGCACTGCAAAGGATAAGCTAAACAAAAGCATTTCCTGCTCTTGGCACACAACACAGCATGGAGAACAAATTTGCACTCAGCTGAGTGAAATTTGGCATTGTCATTACGGACAGAGCAGAAATCTGTGCTACAAAACCCTGCATGACAAAAACTGTGCCAGTCTGAAATAAACTGCGATGCCTGGGACACTGTAGCGTGCCACCAGTCAGCAGTATGGGAACTCACCACAGACTTGGTTATGATGACATCTAGATATTGATCTTGTGGGTAGGACTCATCACCCTTAAATTTAGTAATCCAAAAAGTTAAGTATCTCCCCTAAGCCAGCTGCCTAGACTCTCTTGACAACTGATGAGGAAAGACTGGTATCTCCTGAAGACAATTTATCCTAATCTGTGATAGGTGTCTCAGGCAGAATGAATCAATGGTTGGAACTGTCTGTTTCTCTCCACTGAACTAAAGACGGAAATCAGAAGAGTAACTTAGCCTAGACACAACTTTTGGATGAGTGAGAGTCAGGGAAATGAATCCAACCCTATCTCTCTATTTGCCACATCACCAGGCACCACCCTCTGTGAATAAAGTATAGTTTTAGGTGTTTATTTGACTTGGAACTTGCTTTAAATCCCATGCAATGTTAGGAACAATAACTTTCTTCAAAATCAGTCTATTTTCCAGCACTGGTCTAATTATCATAGGCTTTCAGTATCCAAGGCCAATCACTGATCTTCCATTTCCTGTAAGTAGTGGCTGACTTGAAGCTGTACTACAGCAGTAAAACAAACCAGCAGAAGTTCTCAATTATCCAATTCAAAGCACCAATTAAGAATTTTGCCACTAATGACAAATCTCACCCATCAGTCACTCAACAAAGAATACATTCCATATATATATATATATATATACAAAAAATGTGCAACAAGGGGGAAAATGTCAGTGACACTTACTTGTCCAAGAGTACACTCCATGCCACCGAGGAAATCTGCTTCCTTCAGCCCATTGTGGTTGCTGCTAATATCATGGACCTCAAACCGCAATCGCTGCACCTCTTCAAAATAGAAATCCACCGTGAACAGCTTGGAGAAGACGGGATTTATACAGGTTCGAATCACTTCCGTCCTGTCAACCTGTCAAATCGCAAAGAGGTCACATGAGTGGCTTCTCTTTCCACCAGTGATGGACAGCCATGAACTCCGCAAATACACCTTGCTCATTTATCAGGACTGACAGCTGGGACTGTGGCCATGGACAGTCCTGTTTGTACCATCAGCAGCAGCTGCCCTTTCTGTGCTGGGCTGGCCACAAACACAAGGTAAGACCACCTGCCCTTGCCTCTCCCGTTCAGCAAGTCTTTAGCAGAATAACTGGGAAATTAACTATAGAATAACTACAGAATTTACACCTCCAGCAATACCCATCCATCACTACAAAACAGCAGTGGAGTGATACAGTTTCATCAATCTAAATGGAAAAGAGAGTAACACGGCCAGTAATTACTTATTTCAGACAATTTGCATTACTAAGGAGAGGAGAACTGGATCCACAGCAACAGCTTTTCTTAAAAATATAAAAATTTTTCCATCCTGCTAAGTTACATCACAAGAATCTGATGGGTTATACACTGTTTCTTTCCCCCTCTGAGTCTTGAAACTTCTAAAGAAACATCATTAAATCTATAATTGCTATTTCTTTAAAAAAGTGCTCACAGATTATTTCTAGTTCTCTTAAGACGCAGTACTTGGGTTTCCTATTTTTGAAATATCTCTTTGCTATTTTTCATTATGATGCATCATTGGTGACAATGTAAGCAATGAAGCAATTTCCTTTTTTCCACTCTCTTTGCCCTGGCACCGAAAAAAACTTAATAATTCTATAAGATTAAAGGAACTGATCCTGAAATGAAGTAGGACTTGGGCACATCAGTCACTAGATAGGAGGTGGCTGGTGCGCCATGGAACAGACAAATTAAATTGCTCAGAGGAAGAGTGATGAGATCCTTTGTCTGATTCCTGATCAGGAACATCTGTTGTGCAAAAAATGACAGCCGCTTGCTTCACTTTTCAGAGTTTATAATGCATTAGCCTTTCTGGTAGTTATCGGCAAGGACACAAAGAGTCAAGCAAATCAAAAGCAGGGTAAAAAATGAACAGTTTCTGGTAGAACAGGTTTATTTTAGTGCTCATCAAAGGTGTCAGATTGACAGCTCTGACAGCTGAAATCCTTTACTTAATCATCTAACAGATGCTACCACTCATGGAAGAGATGCAAACCAGTGTTACCACTGCTGCCTTCTCACACAGCTGTGTCAATGTGTTCTGACTATGCCAGGAGGAGACCATCACAAAGAGAAAAGCATTATGAATGCTTACATAGTCATTCTTAATAAATTTGCATAGACTAGCTGAAAATGATGGGTTTGATATCAGTCATGCAAAGAATAAGAATAATATAAGGTGAGAAAGGATACCAGCTACCTTCATTCAGATGTTGGTCTATCTCAAAATTTTTTGTTATCTCCACTAGCAATCAGTATGACTCCAAATCACAGTTTCTGCTACAACGAAAAATATTTCTCATGTCAGATAAAGATGACTAATCAGTTCACTGAGACATTCCTGAGGCATCTTCTAAGTGACAAGTGATCTGATTTACTTCAGGACAGTGGTCATCTCATGAACCAGTGCTTCAGCAGACCAAATAATCAAAACATTTAAATGAATGGTTTTAAATATTTTTTTCATAGCTACAGCAATCTCCTAAACTCATTCATTGTGTATAAACTGTTAATTCAATGGCACCATTTTAATTGCTTCATTGGTACAGCAGATCTCAGGCAGTAACTGAAATTTCTGTTTCACCTCATCTCTTCCTTTCTGCTGGAAAGGGCTCTCCACTGTGAAACACATCAAGATTTACACTTGCACTCAACACAGATTAAATATGTGGCTGCTCAAGGGAGTAAAGTGCCTGAAAATGGAGGCATAGGTCTGCACACTGGGACATTAAGAATTTCAGTCTCACACAGAGATAAGACATTGTTTGCTTTTTCCAGCCTGTGATTGACTGACATCCTTCCCTTGACAGACACCGTACTGAAATATAGCCATTTCACTGAATTTCCCTGGTCTTCCCACATTATTGAGACGATACATCAAGCCAGCATGTCAGAGCATGGGATTTGAAAGAAGCAATGCCAACAGCTCCACAAGCAATATAAAATTCTTTGTGCCTCCCTCAGCCATCAGCAACAGCATTAACCCCTATTAGTCTACCTTGCCTCCAGCCTGCTTTGTCAGCATATTTCACAGTTACCCTACTCCCTGGCTAGAGAGTTGGGAATTGGCCTCAGCTTGGGAAGCCTGGCTCCATTCCCTGCCTTTGATTACTGTGCAGCAGGGCTGAGCGCTGATAACCAGCTGGAGTGACCTATGATGAAGCAGCAGTGGCAAACAGAACAGCTCAAAAAATTCCCCAACTCTCATGGAATTCCCTGTTTAGGAGATGCTAAACACAAGGTATAATGTTCACTTGACTACTGCCACTTTTTAAAGGCTGTTCTTTCTTGTTCTTGCTCTCACATTCAATCATAAAGCCTTAACATGCTCTTTAGAAATGCTGGATGAGTGTGAAACTTTAATGAAAACTGGTGGAAATACTATTGCTAAGTGCAGTTTCAAGCTGATAACCATCAAAGAGTTCATGATTTACAGGGCTGTAGACAAAAAAAAATAAAAATCAAAGAAAAAAAAACCAACCAAAAAAACCCTGACCTGGTTTTGACCACAAGTTATCCTAATACCTGCAGAACCTGTTTCATTTCAATCAAAATACAGTGTCATCCTCCACGCTGACCCAACATACAGGTTCATAGAAGTCTGACAAGATGCCAGCCTCAAGCCATATGCCCATAATCCTGCTGTCACCCAAAATCACTTACATCACTTTCACTTATCTGGATGATGAAGGCTGAAGTGCTTAAAGAAAACACAGTTAAACTTTGCCCAGCCTCATTAACTGAGCACTCAGGAAGTTAAAATTTCTCAGCATGAATGTTTTCCAAAGCATAATGAGGAACACTAAATCTCCATTTCTTTTGGAGAAGACAGCTTTAAAGTCTAACAACAGCATGTTATAAGCGAGTGAAACTTACACTTTTGGTCTTGCTACAGAAAACCCCGATCCTGACAACAGGCAGATTTTTCAACAGGACATGGACAGGGGTCATGCCCACAACTTTAGGATTTGCTGATGCCTGACATATGAGCCATCTGTTATTTTGGGACTTTGCTAGAACAAGGAATTTCTCCAACTCACTGAAGCAGAAAAAAATTTCAAAAGAAACAACTGACAGCTACATGCACCTTTGGGCTGTGTCAAGAAGTAAAACTGACCTTAGAAAGAGCAACATTCATCTGACACCACAATCTGAACATCTGCTTCATGGTGCAGCTTCATCTGCACTTCCCCTTCAAGGACAATTTAAACAGAGAAAAGGACTTGCTTCTTCACCTCCTGGGATGGACTCACACTGCTTTCCCTCTTCATCTCTTTAGGTCCTTGTCACTTCACAGAAGGTGGCACCCTGCTGAGTAGCCAGGATTACTTGGCAGGCCCATCTGGATGCAGCCACCCTGTGAGCTTCCCCTTGGGGAACTATGAATGACACACAAACACCAAAGTTGGCATCCATAGTGCAAAGTGCCATCTCAACAGCAGGAATTAAAATACAGGAGAGAAAACAGGCCCTCTGAATCTTCTTGTCAAACTTGCAGGGAGTTGGAAGCTGAGTCTGAAAGCTGTTTGCTCTCTGTACTGTTGACATGGATGGACAGCTGTCAGAAATGTTTTACTGTTTCCCTGTTTGCCCACAATCACTGCTCAAGAACTGCAAACTTGTCTTTGTAGTCAGAGAGCATCAAATCAAACAAGGCATAAATAACAGATGAGCAAATACTAAAATTCAGGCTTCTTATGCTGTTAATATCTTCTGCCTGTGAGCTGCTGAAAAGCAGTGAGTTTTGCAGAACTGTGATAAATATGGTATCTTCAGTGAGGAAACAATCCTTATCCTAGGAAAAAAAAATCACTGACAAAGAAGTTCAGTGGCTGAAGAACTGACTATTCCATCCATCCATTCCATCTTCCACCATTAGTTGAGA